TGGTTTAGTTTAAGCCCTTTAACTATTCATTTTGTTCTAAAAAGTCAGCCTTTCGCATGCTTAATTAATGCCTTTACCTAATTTGCATATTGCCGACATATGCAAATTAGGCAAATGCATTAATTAAGCATGCAAATAGCTGATTTTTCGGGAAAATTGTAACTTTGCGTGAATAGTTAAGGGGCTTAAGCTAAACCAAATTGTTTGAAATTTTGTACAGTAATTAAAATCCCGACAAATTTTCCATCTGTTAACTCAAAATATGATTGCAGCTTTTAAATTTTGTGCGCGAGCCATTTTTAGTTTGTTGGAAAAGACACACCCCCCTGGTTCACAAAATTTAAGTTCGAGAAATTTTTTTCATTATTTTACATTATAAGTACCCAAAGAAGCTATATATATAAAAAACAGCTACAAATAGCTGTTTTGCAAAATTGAGAGCAATTTTAAATCTGTTCAGGTTTTTTTGATACACCCTGTATAGTTTAACCCACTAAGCACCAGCGCTCTCCCCTTGATGAGTAAAATCGTCTGGCGTTAGACAGAGTAAAATACTAAAGTAGGGTGCATCAGGGTGCAATGCTACTCAATGGGTTAACTAAAGACATGGGCAGATAAGCCAGTTAACCCACTAAGCGCCAGCGCTCTCTCCTTGAAGAGTAAAATCGTCTGGCGTCAGACAGAGTAAAATACTAAAGTAGGGTGCATCAGGGTGCAATGTGACTCAATGGGTTAACTAAAGACATGGGCAGATAGGCCAGTTAACCCACTAAGCGCCAGCGCTCTCCCCTTGACGAGTAAAATCGTCTGGCGTTAGACAGAGTAAAATACTAGAGTAGGGTGCATCAGGGTGCAATGTGACTCAATGGGTTAATACTTCTAAACGTTTCTTCCTGTATGGTCAATACCTGACATCAAAACCTAAACAACCTTACCTGGAAATGAATAATGCTTATCTTCAATTTCGATCAGTTTTCCATTATAATACCAGTCAATTGATGTGAGGTCTTCGTCATTCTTCAGATCCACATGTAAAATGTCTGATGAGTCTTCCACTGCCACGTGAGGTGATGACGTCACTGAAGTGATGGCAGGAAGGCCTGAAGAAGCAAACTGCATTAGGTTAAAAACTCAACTAATTCGACATATACTAAACAGCTCTATCTACGCTATAGTTAGAAACGGCATTCCCAGGAGATTTAGTAAAGTCGATCTAAAGGTGACAGTGGAACATCTCATCTTTTTTAGATAAGGGTTAGGATTAGGGATGCCAAAAATGAATTAGTTAATTAAATTAATATGGAAATTGAAACTTACGTTCAACAACATGAATATGTATAACACCTTCAGCGAACCCATAACGATTCTTTGCTCGGATACGATAAACTCCAGAATGACTCAGTGTTGCACGTTCAACCTTTAATACAAACGGGTCCTGTGTTTCCATATTTGTCTTCAAAGCTTTCCCATTTTCTATTTTCTTCCATTCAACTTCCCATTCTTCAACTTCTACATACTCTCCCCGAAGCGGCTTGACGGTGATGGTCAATGGATGGTTCAAACATGCACCACCAGTGGCGGACATATTAAACCTTGGCTCTCCTAAAATGAGAAGAATTTGGTATCACTGATACGTTAAGGGTTATGTGCCTTTACTTTTTATTTCTGGGAGCAAGGTTTTATTCCCTTTATTCCTGCAATACACATTTTCTAAATATAATTTCACCTCAGTTGCATGTGAGCAGACAGATAGCATTACCCAGTATAAACAAAGTTAGTTTAGTTTAGAGTAACATACTGGAGTAATAAGAAATGATTCTACAAGACCTTTAAAGTGAACAATTTAGACCTGATAGAACTATCCAGGGTTAGGGTTAGTTATTAATATAAATAAAGTATAAATAAAAATAGTGGGTGGAGGTTCAGATTTGACTAGAACCAAACTGCTACCATTAACCAATCAAATGTGTTTAATCTTCCCTAATCAACCAATCAAATACTGATACTAAGCCACTGAATTAGGTAGCGGTCATGGAAGTCAAATCTGAACCTTTTCATTAAGCCATCCAAACATCTTACCAAAATGTCTAAGCATAACAGAGCGACTGAACAAAACCTTTGGTTTAGAAGATTTCCCTTCCTTAATATTGATAGTGTAATGCTTTACTTCGTTAACCGTGAAATCTTTAATAATCAGTGAGTGTGAATCACAGCCATGTGTCGTAATGTAGCTGTTAAAACGAAACCGAAATTTACCAACACTATATGGCAGTAACTGCAGGTTTGGATGGTCTTGGGTAGCTTGTTTTCCCACCAAATAAGTTCCTATTCCTTTGTCTCCTTTCTCCCAATAGATGTGGTAAGGTTTGCGATACTCTGTGAAAAAATAAATTTGGATTTACTATAGTAAGTGGGACTAGGAGTGTGTTAATCATCCTTAGCAGCTGAGAACTAAGCTGAATTATGAAGGACTCGACCTGATCGTATTAAAAGCTTTCTATAAGGGCACCTGTGACAGTCACCTAATAATTCATATCTGTTCACAGAGTACAGTAAATGGATAATTTTTATTGTATTGTAGGAGCATCAACAGTATAAGAACAAAACTTACGATATATGACATAGACAGAGTCTCGTCTTTCAGGAGTGTACAGACCAAGTTTCTCCCGCGCATCGACGTAATACGGCAGAGCCCAACTAGTGTAACACCCTTTTCGACGTGATGAAAAGATAAAGTAACGCTCGTTAGCGTAAAGTGCCAGCTGAAAACATTGTTTCTTGTTGGCTGCCTTGCCAAGTTTTTTGACATACATATAATCTCTAGGCATGAAATCAAGGAAACCGTACCATTCATATGCATAGGTTTCTGTGAAATAAATTAAAAATATGAGTTAGAAGTTAGCTAACTTATAAGTTGGTCGGTTAGTAAGTTCGTAGGTTAGTAAGTAGGAAAGTAGCTGTGCTCTCTGACTGACCAACTATGGAATGACCGACTTACTAGCTGGCCGACTGACCAACCGACAGGCTGACTTGACCAACCAATTGACAGGTCAACCAACTGCTAGCTGACAGACTAACCATATGACTCATTGGTCAACTGACATCTGACTGAGTGAGTGATCAAACACCCTGGGGCCGGTTGTATAAAAAAGTGATTAAAGTTAATCATGGTTAAGTGGAAATGTCATCCAATAAGAAGCGCCTATTTGAGAGTTAATCACTATTTAACTACAAAATAGTGATTAAAAAAGTGATTAAGAGTTTTATACAACCAACCCCTGGTACTCAACCAATCAATCAACCAATTGGCAAGGTGACCAAGGAAACTGAACAACTGACCAACCAATTAATCAACCAACTATTAGTTACCATGAGTGACAGTTGAAAAATCCTACTTACTATCAGGAAAGAACAGGAATGTAATTTTCGCAGTAACAGGTTCGTAGGCCCAAATTGTTCCATAAGGATCCAAAACTGGCGTTCCTCCTTGGTGAAGCAGACCTTGTTCCTGGACTGGAAGCAACAGACCCGGATGACCTGAAGACAATAATGAAATTATGATTAAATAAGAGACATAAGATAGTGTGTGGTACTGGTAGACAGGGTAAAGTTGTCTAGCACACACTGTGAGAGGAATGCCTGGATGGTCTAGATAATCCAATCATAGACCAGATGATCTTGACAGTGTTTGCTTGATAATAAATAATTTGGTGTTAGATGAAATAAAATAACAAACAAGGGAACATTAAGGTGCATATTGGTTAACAACAGACGTGACCAACAATACAGGTGTTCAGATTTGACTTCCACTACTGCTACCATTAACCAATCAAATGCACTTAATCTACCCGATCAACCAATCAGGTGCACTTAATCTACCCGATTAACCAATCAGATGCACTTAATCTACCCGATCAACCAATCAGATGCACTTAATCTACCCGATTAACCAATCAGATGCAC